TACAGTAAAAACATGTTGTGAGGTGGTATTCAGTTTCAAGCTGAGACCTCAAAATGAGGCTTTAATTTCATGGTAGTACATGTACCTTGAAATTGATCAATCAGTCTGTTGGTTTCTGTGATGTCCCCAGAGGTACATGTACCGTAGTCACGATCATCACTCATGATACGGCGTTTTTCACCCATGTGCTTCAAGTTAGAATTGTTCGTTTGCAACATTTAAGATTTCCAAGTATCCAAATTTACATGTACATGTATATTAAAAATGGGTTCCATACTTTTACATGCACCCGTTCTTAGGTACTATATGTTCTCTGAATGTGTACATGTACAGAGCGTGAAATTACGGTTGGATATTGGACATTTTTCGAGTACGTACCTTGCAAAACAGTCATAAGCTTACTCGTGTGGGACTCGAACCCACGACTTCCTGCTTACTAGCGCAGACGTCTTAACCACTCAACCACCGAGCTTGCCGGGGATGGCTGGCCGGTCCGAGTCAGGTGAAGCAGTGGGTACTGCAAACTATTTGTAATTTTTCAAGATGTAAAATCTTGAAAAATAGTCGCTGCCTGCACCCTAACAGGGACTGCTGTGAGGTTGGCGTATGGGACCACCAAACTTCAGCAGGACCAGTGAGAATTTTGAAGTACTGGTCCTGCTGGCTACCAAGAAAAAAGGTTTATTTCGACACCTGACACTGCATGTTACAACTCTGCCTTTTACAGTATGGCAGATCAAAAGCTGGAAATGGCAGAACGAAATTGATTGTGTTATGACATTTTGTCTGAGCACTTTTTTGGTCTAATTTTGTGCTCTTAACATGCATAGGCTTACAAGTACTGGGCCATGTTGCCTTGGTCAGGGCATTTGTCATTAGATACATGTATTTGTACATGTACAAGCTACAAGCTAGCTATCCAAAGACTTCATTGTGTACATGTTTGTTTGCAGTGGAAAAGTCAAGACAAAAACAGCGTGATGCATAAATCAGCTGAAACTGGACGAACACCGTGGTTGAACTTAGTTACCTCAGCTTCTGTTAGAAAGATGTTTTTCCATTGGTCAACAGGTTAACTGCTGCACATGCATCCTGCATGCCAGCACCCATATGGCCATGGTGTGATCATGTTTACACGTGTGTGGGACCAACTGCACTGCGATGGATTGCAGTGATTAGACTGTTGATTCAAGTGAAATTTTCCCACATATCAAGGATTTGTACTGTTTTTGTGGCATAACGATAGGTCGGTGCTATGGCCATTTATATGCACATGTAGCTGTGCCGTAGATATGGCCCTACTCAGCTTGGCTCAGTAGTTGGCTGCTTGGTTCTGAGTTATTTAAAGCCTGTTTCCATATGGTCATAAGGAACGCTGACACAGACAGTTGTTGAAGAGATACTGCCTGACATCATTCCACCAAAAACCATTTACCAAAATAGCGTCCGAAACTCAGAAAATGTTTGCATAAAATACCTGTCTAGGTGGCAAGGTCACTTCTTGAAGCCAAACAAATACTTCAGTTTGATGTGCTTTGTTTATGGTCAGCTATTTTGTTGACGATTGGGGCTACATATGTTAGTAATAACGAAAAAATGGACAAAATCTGTGGTACTATTAAAGTCGTGTACATGTTAGTGAGAGGAATATGGTACACCTGTCATGCCAGTGTGCGCGTTTGTATTCGAGTACAGACCTCCCGACCCAATTTTGGCAGAAAAATTTCCACTGTTTCACTTTGTTTCCTCCGTTCCGATTTCACCCTGAAAATTTCTGTTGTGTGGGGGGATGGATAAAATCATGCGTGGCTGGAGACAGACACAGCCAAAATGATGAGCCCCCCCTCCCATTTTGGGAGATGGCTACATTATATAGCCTGAATAGTTGTCATTCTTCCATGTGCGACGGTGCTGTTTGCTTTCAAGTTAAGCATTCAATCAGATAGACCACGGATACTTACATGTACATGTTGTATTTGTGGTTATTCCAAATATTTACGGAAATTAAGTGATGCACATAAACATGTATCTGTATACTTCTCCTAAACATTCACATTCAAAAATGTTAATTACATTTTTGCTAAAACTCACAACTATGAACTAGTAAGCCTTGGCAGATATTGTTGATAACTCATACCAATATCAAATAGCATTTCCTTATAAACACACATGTACTATGAGAACATCCATGTGGCATTTAACGCAGTGTATGTACATGTATGTACATGTATGCTAATGCACATACTGTTTACTATATGTAAAGATCTTTATTCAGTGCAGACCTTTATTTAGTATCATATCTTAGAAGCCGCAGAAATAAAACGTTATGAATAAATCTGAGTTTCTACTTCCTCCTTTCCATTGCCCATGTGTACATGTACGTGTACATGTACTTTTGAGGTAATCCTTTTGAGTGGATGACTTCATCAAACTGTTTATACCCTAGGTTCCGCAAGGATAGATTTACATGTGGTGGTACTTGTAGAAACCAATGTTGATAGTTAGGATGACATTCATGTTATTTATAAACCTTTTGTCATTGACAGTCATGGATTAGTATTATTTGGAAGCAGTTCTAATTATATCCATTGTCTCAAACACATTCTTGTAGGCCGACCAGACAATAATAGACAGGCTGTTGCTATGCAGTGCATGTATGTACGGTAGTTCATTTATAACTCTACCATGTCTACCGGTAACTTTCAACGAAAGAAATTAATCACACAAACAAAAGTCATGCATGATAATTTTACAAGACACATTGAGTTTGCCATTGCATTCCATTAATTTCCTCAGTGTTCCAGTTTTTCCTTTTTTTTTCCTATTTTATTCTGGTTAAACACAGAATAACCTGTTCAAGCAAACAGGTTCAATCCCAAATGTCTAAATGCAGAACTGAAACCAACCCAGCCCAATTGAAGTAATGACAGCGGAATTGAATCCATCCAAATCTAAAGTTAGCTTAGGGTTAGCTCAGATTTCAGGTTTGGTTGGGTTTGCACAACATTGGTCGTTACGTTTCAGTTGTTGGCAATGTTTTCCAAACTGCTGATGACTGTGATTGTGTTTTTTATCATGTGATTATTTCCACCAAAATTGAATAAAGATTTGAGGTCAGTTTTGCCGTCTTAAATTTCAAAATTTGTGATTGTGAAAGAGTAACTCGTTGCAAAAATATCTCTAATATAAATTTGAGGGGAAATTGACAAGGAATTTTTTCATATGATTACCAATGGTAAAAAGTTTGGGTTCATTTCCCTTCCCCCAAAGCTAGACCATGGCTTTTGTTCCTGGTCCATGCTTCAGGAACAATTTTGTCCCGTGAATGCCCAAGTGCACTGGTGATGAACTGATTTTCCATTGTCTCGGCAGGTTCTTCTGGAGAACCAGAAGGCGCAGAGAGAGGTTGACCTCCATGTGAGAGCATGCAAGAACTATAACATAGTCGGCATTGAGGACGTGTATGAGAACATCTACAATGGTCATAGGTGTCTGCTGGTTGTCATGGAATGGTGAGGGCTGGTTCATTGATTGGCTTTGTGTACAAACAAAAGAGGGCACTCTTGTAATATCTACCAACAGCGTCCGCTTTGGTGTATCCAACACTTCTGTACGCTTGCAGCATAGAGTATGCACAGTCTGAATGTCTGCAAATACCGGTAGAAGGCTTGTCTACGAGCGGGCTTGTAATGGATAAAACTGATGACATTCCATGTCAGTGCAGTCAGTATTGTTGAAATGTTTCTGCAAAGGAAGATGATTTCAGAATGGAAAAGATTGAAAAGACATTGGCAATGTGTTATGAGTTCTTGTTTTATTATTACAGCATGGAGGGCGGTGAACTGTTCAGCAGGATACAGGAAAAATCATTATTTACAGAGAGAGGTAAGTCTATTTCTGTCTTTGGGGAAGAGATTTTGGGAAACACTAACCTAAATAGTCTGATAATTTTTTGTGGACCTGAGTCAGGAAATTATTTTAAAAGTAAAATTTGCTGTTAACTTTGCATGTGTTAAATACAAAAAAAACTGTTGATTTTTTTAAATTAACACCAAAGACAAAGAAAACCTGTCACAATAATCGAAGGAATGTGGAGGAAACAGGTGTCCCTTAACACCAAAAATAAGGAATGCCTGTTTCCTCCAAATTCATTGGAGTTGTCATGCCTTTGTTTTTTCTTTTTCGTGATAATGACATAAATACTTGGTGTTCTTTGTGTCTGAGATAGATTCAGTTTTGCAGAGAATGGGATAAAGACAGAGTTTAGGAGAATTTGTGGTGATTTCAGAGAATGAGAACTAGATTTGATTGATTTATATAACAGGTTTTGCCCTTACCCAACGTATGTATTAATAAACACTGTATGCCCAGTGCTTGTCCGAGAGCTTGCGAAAAAGTCACAAGCTTACTCGGGTGGGAATACACAAGCTTACAGTGTTTATTAATATATACATTTGGTAAGGGCAAAACCCATTATATAAATTACATCTCCCCAACGCAAAAAATACGTTTTACAATAGATTTGATTGAGACAACAAAAAGACAAATTTTGTTCAGCCCAAACAAAAAAGGTGGTGGCCAAACTGCTACAGTTAACTTCATGGAACTGGTTCTTCACAGAGTTTTGCCAAGATTTTCAAATGTCAAGACAGCTCTTAGTTGGTTAGCAACTTCGTTGAAGTCGGTCTATTGATAGTAGCATTTACAGCAAAGTTTGGGTTGATCTGACTTGTTTATTTCTTAATTCCACAGAGGCGGCAGAGATCGTCCGCAACATCGGCATGGCCATTCAGCACCTCCACTCCATGAACATTGCACACAGAGACCTGAAACCTGAGAATTTGTTGTACAAGGATAAGAGTAAGAACTCGGTCCTGAAGCTGACGGACTTTGGCTTTGCCAAGATGACTACCACCGCCACACTACAGACGCCTTGCTACACGCCCTATTACGTGGGTGAGTAAAAATCGTCTCGGAGGGTTGGTTTGGAGGGGTAGGCGTTACTTTGGTCAGTAACGTTGGCTGTTGGCCCAGCTGACTGTAAGGTGCAACAGACGTACAAATCTGTAGGACCCTGTTCCAGTTGGCAGTCAACAGAAGCAAATGAATTGCCAGTGCCAAAGCAAGAGCAGCTAGTCCAATTGAACAGTGTCACTTTCCTGAAGTGATGTGTAGGCTTTGACACTGTTTGATTGTGGGGGTTGATGACCTGTTGATCTTGTTTAGTCATATGCTGCCAGGAAACCTGGTTTCGAGCACGTAGGCTTTATACACGAAACCAGGTAGCCCAAAACCGAACAAAAGAGCTGGGCCTTGTAACAAAAGACCGTACTCTGAACAAAAGACCGAGTGCTGGGAATTGCCAACATTTTTTTCAGTTGTCAATAGCGGAGGAAATCCGTCATTGTTTTGAAAGATTATACCACTGTTTGTGGCATTTAGCACGAGCGGATTACCACCGGAGACAAAAGCGCTCCAGCTATGAGCAATACAATACCACTGCATGCTAATCTAGCCCCTATTGAAAAGACTAGTGCACTGTGCTGTTTTGGGAATAAAAGAAAGTTACATACAACTCCACAATCTGGGCTTTTTTTACAAGGCGGCAGGCCTGGCTGAAATACTCGGGGGTCAATAGATATTGTCTGTCAGATAAGAGTAGTCACCAGACAGTTATTCGTGTGGGTGTAAACGTCCAGTAAATGAAGGTATGATTTTTAACCCCTTTGCTACGGGAAGCGGTAAGAGCCACCGTAAAAATTGAGATTCCTCAGCCTGCTTTTCAGCTATTATTCTCAGCCCATGCTCGAGCGAACATGGTGAATGAAGGCAGACCCTGGCTTTTGTATATATGGTGATTGGCCTTTGTGTGTTGCCAAGAAATGAAAAGGCCGAATTTGCATCATAATCACCAGTTAGTCCCCACTTTGAAAAGAGGCATTGGGAATGTGGAAGTGCGAGTAGAGCCACATGCCACTGAACAATGAGCCTTTTCACTGTGTAAATCAAAGCCTGCAGAGCATGCAGGGCCACAAACCGAGAATTTGCGGTTTGGGAGGTGGCCATTGTGGCCAAGCGAGGGTGGAATTCTCGGAGTCGGCTTTCAGAAAAAAGTCCTGGCGTCAAGGGGTTAAAGAATTTTGAAAACAGAAAATCTCCCAGTTTTATGTCATGCAACTTCAAATTCCACCTGGCAGCAAGTTGTTAATGGCAGGTTTCTCCCTGCGGCAGCTGTTATACGCTGCCTTGTGTTCAAGCTACCTTAAGATCAATTGGGCAGGCTGGAATATAGGTGTTTTAAAATTCTTACCATGAATCCCTGTTTATTGGCAGACAGTGTTAACCGCTTCCTGCCAGGCCATTTACCAGTGTTGATTCTGCTGGGCTGGGTGATTTTTCATTTTTTTCTGTTTTTGAAATTCTTCAAAAAATCATAGCTCCATTTATTGAATGTTACACCCACACGAATAACTGTCTGGTGGCTACTCTAATCTGACAGGCAACATCTGTTGACACCTGAGTATTTCAGCCAGGCCTGCCACCTTGTAAAAATAGCCCAGATTGTGCGGTGTTACGTCATTTTCTTTTGTTCCTGAAACTGGCACAGTGCGCTGCTGACGTCTTTTCAATAGGGGTCAGATCAGCGTGCAGCGGTATTGTATCGCTCATCACCGGAGCGCTGCAGCGCTTTTGTCCCCGGTGGAAATCCGCTTGCGCCGAATGCCCCTAACAGTGATATAATCTTTCAAAACAATGATGGATTTCCTCCGCTATTGACAACTGAAAAAATGTTGGCAATTCCCAGCAGCTCGGTCTTTTGTTCTGAATACAGTCTTTTGTTACAAAGCCTAGTTCCCTTTGTCCGATTTCAGGCACCCTGTCTGTGTATATAAAGCCAACATCTCCGAAACCGGGCTCCCCGGCAGGAAATGGTTAAAGCAAAATGTTCATGTTCATCAAGTCCCTTCACAAGTCCAGTCACAATTCCTTTCACAAGACTAGTCATAAGTTACAGGGAGAACAGTTAATTGTGACTTGGACTTGGTGACTTGGCTTAAGATTGAATGACTCATGATGGACCTTTAGGGACTTATGATGGACTCGGCTGTCACTGCATGTTTCACAATCTTAGCTTTCCCAAAACCTGTGAATTGTCAACCAAATGGAAATACTTGGGGTGCTTATCTGCCAGTGTTTTGTATTTATCAATAAGTTCACAATTCAGACTTTTTACCCTTCAATTATCATTTGCAGCCCCTGAAGTTCTTGGCCCCGAGAAGTACGACAAGAGCTGTGATATGTGGTCGCTAGGAGTAATCATGTACATCTTGTAAGTACAATTGTTTCGTCATACGTCTGTCTTAAGGAATTTATCAAAAAAAACAAGCTCTGAATTTCAGAAGAAGATACATGGAGGCCTGCTGTAAAACTGTACAATTAATTTAACAGATGTAAACAATATCGTTAGCAAATGCACTGTTCCCTCATGTTAGTTATGTTAACTTTAATTTGAAACTAGTGCGGGTACCAATGAGTACATCTATCTAGTCTGGTTAGCGGTCCCCTCATAACCGTATAGGCTGCGGGGACTGGAACAAGTCTGCTATATGAGCGCAATCATTGATTGGATTCCCTGGTAGCCTATGCACAAAAAGTATCATGGGTACCACGCAAAACTGTTTACAGGACAGAAAATGTTCCCTCTCAAACTTCCCGAAGCTCTTCTGTCTTGGGCGCATGCGTGCACGCACTATCGGTAGAATGAGATATCTCACAGTGAGTGTGATATGTGGATATATTGCCCTGTCATGTTATCGTTCTGAGCCAATAAACAGACAGTATCCAAGACACAGGTATGACAATGAAAGTTCTTACACTGTTGACAAATGGTCATCACCAGCATCAAAGACTTCACTGTTCTCTGTGGTCGAGATTGAAACACGAGTCCTTTTTGTCTCACCATAGTGTCAACCTTGGCTTAGATGCTGATTTAATTCTATCCTGAGAGAGTGAACATTTGCGGGGTTTTCCCATGCAGCCCTTGATAGGCACATGGAGTATGCACATCACTGAGCATGCCAAACTGTAATAGCGCCCTCTTGTGGTCTGCCAGCCTTTTTTTTTCTTTGGTGCGGTGTTGTCAAGACCATAACAAGACCAGTCAGCGGAGCAGTCACAGGTTGCAGAATGACAAAGCAATGCTTTTTTGGCAGTTTATTAGAATTGTTCGTGACTTGCATCGCGACAAGAGATCTGTTGATCAACTTTAGAGGGCTTTACCACAGCGCTGCTTTGAGGATGTTTGGGGTTTCTTGTATACATGTAGCAACATTAGATAGTTCACTTCCATGTCTGTTAGTGTACTGTGTTTCTCACGGTTTGTCACCACTAGACATTAATCTGGAGGATAGTAGCACCATTGCAGTAGATCTAAACCATGATTGTTGGGCTTCTCGTCAAGTCCTCATCATTCATGACCCAATTTCTACACCTTTTATAAACAGCCTGTAACTCTCCACTTTAAAACCTGACAATTGTATTCTCAATTTGGAACAGAGTCAAAAATAGATATATATCATGTTTGTGATATGCACTTAAGATGGCTGAAGAATTTGTTGACTTAAACTTTTGTGACACTCTCAAATTAAAGGATCATTCTCAGGAATAATTTATTTACTGCTTCCAACTGTAAAAGAACAAAGATGGGATAAATGGATAAAAGGACGTCTCCGGAAAATGAAGAATGAGCTAGCGCCCGAAATCAAACGTTGGTAACGTTAGTCTAATTTGAATATGAATACGATTGTAAGTTAAAGGCAAATAAGGTCGTATCAAAATAAACGGGGGTGCTTTTTTTTATATCGTCACACTTTTTATTGCATTTTACCTGAAAAAAATTCTGACTTTGCACAAAACATGGAGAGAAAATTTAGTGTGTGTAAAGAAGTTTTAAATTTCACAGGTTAGCTGTAAAGAAGTTTTAAATTTCACAGGTTAGCGGTAAAGAAGTTTTAAATTTCACAGGTTAGCCGTACATCAGTCTCTGTAGTCCTTTTTAAGATCATTTATTCTCCTATCACGCTGTATTATTTCCCTGTAAAACACAAGGCCATCTGTCCTTTGCTGGTTTTCCATCACAAGAAGAATTTTAGTTTTTTCACTGACATCGTTGTGTTTCCTTGGATACTGTTATCAGGAAATTAGGGGGGGCTAATGAAGTTACAGAGCCAGTTACTACTTGTACTTAGACCAGGTAAACAACCCCACTTAGTCCCAAGTTGTAACTAAGCCATTTAGGGTATTGCATTTCAAATCTCCTTCATCAAGCACACAGGCATCTTAGTGATGCATGTAGCCTAGCCCATATCAAGAAGCTGTAATTTCTCAGAAACCCACTCACCCAAATCCAAGAGGAGAGCTTCTGTCACCTTACTAGTCCCTATCGGATTATCAAGAAATCCCTACTCCACACTGCTGGTAATTGAAATCTATCATGCATACACAATAACCACTGGCAGTCCACTTGAGCTGTAAGGCATAATTACTTCTAGATTGGGAGGATATTAACACGCCATGCACAGTTTAATTGTTCTTTGCCTACTGGCATGTTTTCTCTCATCAAGTAATTAACAGTGAAGCATCTGTGATTGAGTGATTCCATCACAGGCTCAATTTGAACCATCTGGTGTGCTCTGCCGTAAAGCCTTAGGAATGTTACGTGTATCATAGCTCTTGATCTCAGACAGGGTTGTGTATTTGTCAGCCTCTGAAAGACGCACTTGGGTTCTCTCACAACAAACAATACTGTTTATTTTTTTTTACTCTTTTCTGCATGATTTTTTTTATAAGTCCAATACTGAGTCAAGGCATTCTCTGGTGAAGCAGTTGCTCGGACAAAGAACAAAAATATTGTTTTTAAAGTGTGGCTGCAATGAATTTTTCTTCGACACAATTCTTCTGCATCTTTTTATTTTTCTTCAATACATGAAAACTCTTACACAGTCCCATTTGGTTAAATGCATTGAAAAGTACACATTTTTAAACATTCAAAATTTTCCATGTTTTCCCAGACAACTGAGGGCGTTGTTGCTGTGAAGTCATCTAGGGAAGACATGCTTCAGTGCATGGGTATTTCTGTTCAAATTTGTAAAACCAGATTTTACTAACTGAAAGCATTTCTGAGAGAGGAATTGATGGGTTCTTATTGCTATGCACCTAAACAACAATGAAACTTCAAAAACAAGAGAACTTAGTTCAGGAAAATCTACAAAAACACAGGACAAACTAATGTAAACATTGAAGCTTCTTCCTGAGATGACATATACAGTTTTGTTCATGAATATGGATGTACTCTTGTGCATAAAAACCAAAAAGGCATGAAGATACCCTTTGAAATAGTGAAACCAAAGTTAAAAATAAGGTTTACTGAGCACAAAGGTGCATTTTACAGGTTTGTAATTAAAAACATGGATGGCAGTTACCCTTTAAATGTGCAGGTAATGTTTTACTAGCAGGTACTTGTTTTAATTTGAATGTGAGTATTAAACTGATTGCTTTGGTTTCTCTCTAAAATCTCTGCCAGAAATCTGACACTGTTCCATTTCTTTTAACATTTCCTTGGTACGCAAACAGAACGGCAATAGGAAGTCTCAGATAAGACCACAGTGACTTAAGACTGCGCGTATATTCTGGAAATCAGTGGTATCCAGCTGCCCCCTATCATGGGCTTTTGCGAATTCCTGGAACGCTGAGTTTACCATATCTTAAAGCACATGTAAATTTATAGTTGGTATTGTTGATTGCAATCTGCATTTGAAGTGACAGTGATGTACTTTCCTGGCAATGTTTAAACCAGTACAGGGGCTATGACTCGTCGTAAGGGCTTTATTCTGTCTCTTGAAACTTACTCAGTAACATCATCAATGCCAAAAATCCATATTCTGGTCAGGTCCGTTGTTAAGTGCCTTTATTGAAATCAGTAATTGGTTTGTAAGTGCGGCCTCCACCATTGAGTAAACAGATGACAAATTGCATGTAATCGTCATTTTACCGGATGACAGTGACGAATCGGACTCGTTTTTCTTACAGATTATGTTGAAGTCTGAGTAGTGGAGGCTTATGTGAATCAGTGTACGGTTCTTGTCCATGGAAACCATCAAAAGTGCAACCGCTTGCATTAAAATGGAATAGTTACTATTCCATTATTGCCGTGGGACCTGTGAAATAGTGAACATGCACATGTATACATGTACATGTGTTCCTGCGTCGTAGTTATGGGGACATACACTCGACATTTCACCTATTTTGTGGGGACCGAAAATATTGTGGGGACTCAGAAATGTCTCCACAACTCGGTTCAAATTTCCCTAGCAAAAAAACTTCACCCCTGAACGCGGTGAATGCGTACCCATGTGTACATGTATACATATACATGTACACATGTATATACATGTATATGTACACATGTATACATATACATGTACATGTGACATGTACACTTTAGTAGATGACTACCAAACTACATGTAAAAACCTTGACTTCCTTTGTTCAATGCATAGTGCCATAGATTACTACATTGTACTGACTATTGCCACACCTACATGTGCTTGTACATGTATGGATGCACATGTACCTGCAGTTAGAAACGTAACTTTTCGTCCTTGTAAGTATTTACAACATAACTTTGATGCTCCAGACTGACACTATCCTCCATGCTGTCTGAACAGTATGCTTATTCTAAGCAGACTTTAGGCAAAACAAACACAAACCACAAACAACGTTTTTGTGTAACAAAATATTGCTTTATTATGGTATGGTCCATGAGGTTTTTTTACACCCTGGCATATAGCACCTCAGATTGCTTCAGTTATCATTTGCCCTCTGCAGTCAGTATATCACACAGCTTGTGTCATACAAGAGCAGTAATTGCATGAATCAAAGACGCCAGCCTGTGAGAATTTGTTTCATTGCCGTGCATATACTGTAGGCAACTTGTACATTTATTGCATAACAAGTACAAGTGGAGTTCATGTTCTGCTGTAAGAGCAGTCCCGGTGTCCTTGCTCGTTGAAGAGTTATAATCTTACACCGTCCTCTCTAACTTTTCAATCCATGCCAGGCTGTGTGGATTCCCGCCGTTCTACAGCAACCACGGCCTTGCCATCTCCCCGGGCATGAAGCGACGGATCCGCAACGGTCAGTACGAGTTCCCAAAGCCCGAGTGGGACCAGGTGTCTCAAGAGGCCAAGAATCTCATCAACCAGCTGCTGAAGACGGAGCCCGCTGACCGGCTGACCATCACAGAGTTCATGAATCATCCATGGGTCAAGGTAGGCTAATGATATCACGAAAACTCCCGCAGTCTCCAATTCTTCAAACTCTAGTGGGGGGGAAGGATTCTGTAGGGTTTCAAAGGATTGAGGAAGGTAGTAGAGCTCAGCTTCTATAACTCAACATAGGGCTTCATGATCTTGGAAGTTAAAATGTGCAGTGTTTGTTCCTGTGCATTGGAAGATTCTGGAGATTTTAGGAAGGTTCCAATCCAACAGGCTAAAGGAGTTATTGTCCAACCTATGACCCCATTTTAGTTGAATAGTAAATTACACTCTGCATTTTACCAGTGTGAACCATTGAAAGACACCCCACCTCTCCATTTGGGTTATCTGTGCATTTAACACATTACAGGGCACTGATTTTCAACTGAATGGGTACAAATTCACTGTACTTTCACTGGACAGGAGGGCTCCTTAGTACAGACACTACCACCAATGATTCTCAAGTGTTGTTAACCCTGGACACTGCTGTTTGCTACCAGAGGCGGCAGTACTAAGGTGTACAGTGATGTTGGTCAGTTTCACGCCATAAGCCTCATTTGTGTCCAGAGTCTACTTGAAGACCTACTGTTCTGAATGCCGTCAATCTCTTCATCAGAAGAAAAAAGTCTTTCCATGTTTGTGATTGCTTCCCTCCATTTTGGTATTTTGTGCAGAGGTACAATGAGGTTCCTGAGACACCGCTCTGCTCGGTGCAAGTCATGAAGGAAGAGAAGGACCAGTGGGAAGACCTGAATGTGAGTATGAGAAAAATGTGTCGGCAAGACAAAGATCCCGGGAGATCTTTGAAATGAGTCAAGGAAATTGTGAGAAGCAAATTCCTGAGTTCTCATGCCTCTTGTGTGTGTGTGTGCGGAGTTCGGTCCTATTCCAAATTTGTTCCCAAGCACAAGTGTCAAAGAAACATTTAGTGGAGGATTTGAGTATTTGAAATCAGTTCCCAGTGGGAGCTGGTTTCAAACCACAAAATTTAGGTATTGTCATCAGATGGTCAAAGAACGTTGTAATAGTTTTTTAACCAGAATTAGATCTTCTCTAGAATGAGAATCTACAAGTACAACTTGCACATTTGTGAACAGTCTGATAACTTTAAGAATAAATCTGAGGAGTTAACACACAAGAAGTACACAGACCTCCTAGGTGATCATTTCCTTCGAAAAATTCAAGCCACCTAATAGCTAGGGCTGAGACAATACACCTGTGTCATGATACGATACAGTTCATGATACGTGCCAGGATATGATATGTATCACGATATATATTAATTATAAGAACAAATACATGTAAAATCATAACAAATGAATTTACTCAGGGTCCAAGCAACTGTAGAAAAAATAATGCTGGTTTTGAAGTATTTAAATTTCTGCAAACTTCATGAACTTGGAAAGATATCAGCTTTTCAATTTGTAATTTTATCCAATTTATAAAATTCATACAGCTGGTAGGCCTAGTTGTTTTATGAATTAATTTAATTTGGATTTAGCCACTTGAATTTTTTATGTTGAATCTCAGAAATGACTTTACTTTATTTGCATTACAAATGATACCAGGATTTATTTAGCTGTGTACTTCATGACAACACAACAGTGCCTGCATACAATTTTTGTTCTGTCCGCTTTCCTTTCTCCATCGGGAACGGTTGACTTGGGAAAGCCAAGGTGTTTCTATAGAGAAGATTGCTGGAAGTGGGGAAATCAGAATCCTAGAAGCTAGATCCACTCATGTCAAGTTTGCATGTGCTATGCATAGCAATAGCGGTTGGGCTAAAACCTTGTTTTGTCCCACCAAAAAATTATCAGCCGGCTAGTAACGTTGCAAAACTGGTGTACGTCCCAGAATGACTATAGCGTAAAAACCCTTCAAGGCAAGAAAGGTACCAGTCCATTACCGCTGGCACTGTATAGGGTGCCCTCGAGCTATGCTTGACAAAAAATCTGAATGCATACCACGGCTTCGCTCATCGGCCTTTAAATACTGTGTGTGTTGTACTAAAACATAGAACATTTCCATGCATGACGTAATATGCGTGCGGCCAAGTTTGTGAACTGGACACACTGTCACTTCATATGTACACTGCAATCAGACATGGTCAATCGGTGATGCGTCACCTGAAGTACCGCTCCATGGTGAGACTTAAACTCGTCGCGTTTTCAATTTTACACTTTGCACTTTTCGTGCAACGTGTGTGGTTGTGCACTGCAGCTGAGTTATTTATTCTTTTGAAAGCACCGATATTAAAAATTTGTATGGATAAACTGTATTGTGAACGAATGTATCACGATGCACCGATTTATCAATGTATCGTTTCAGCCCTACTACTCATAGTGCAACCTGTTCTCACCATCACGTTATGTCTCTCCTACCCTTACAGGACGAGATGACAAATGCCTTGGCCACAATGCGAGTTGACTACGATCAGATCAAGATCAAGGACATGAGTGATGCCACCAACCCTCTCCTGATGAAGAGGCGTGTCCAGAAGGAACAGCAAGTCAAGTCGTGATCACAGAGTTTTAGTGCACACCTCCTCAAGATATCTAAACACATAACCCCTTCACCCCTTTTATCCAAGATCCTGGACTCGGCATGTCAAGATGACCAGGCATTGCCTAAGCATTGCCTATCCCTTCTCTCAAAGACTTTGGTGCCAAAGTAATCCAATCATTGGAGACACAGAAATGCGCTGACATTCAAACACCATTGCTTCTGTGCGCCTGGTGCCCACACAAAAACCTGATATGTTTGTGCACATTTAGTTGGAATCGAAGATGTGTCCAAATTGCTATGCTGTGGCTTGAAACTCCATATGAATCTATCTGCCTTGAGCAGAAGCACCCCCTCACCTGTTGAAAGGAGCCATGTTGGTCAGGAGTGTTCATTTTGTTGGTAGCTATGCGACCGTACCGGTATGCATTTCATCGTCATTCTCAAACCAGTGAAGTTCAGTTCTGACCAAAGGAGCCTGTGTTGCTAAGACAATTGCTCCCTCTTGTGGTCCAGCTCGAGGCTCATATGGTAGAGGCTCTAGCCACTGCCTTCAGTCATGCCAAATTTCAAGCCATCATAGCCTTACTTGTGCATCTTTCAGAAGCAAGTGATGCGCGCCTGTGATGTATCAAACCTAGGATAGTTGGTTGCTAAGTAACACACCAACCTCTTATTTGTGTACGAAGTCTGTAACCTTCACTCAGGGAAATGCAATCCCTAAGCTTAACCCCCCCCAGTCACTCTCTTTCCCTGTCCGTGATTCTTTGTAATTTGTGATGTTTAATTTCTAGACTGAGCCAAGTCTTTGAAGATCCACACTCCCTTATTCCATTTTTTAAACAAACTGTCACCTCCTATGACAGTCATTTTTCAGTTGCTAAGGCCCACCTTTCTGTAATAGATCCATAAGATATAAAGTTTAGTTCTTTCAAAGATTTTGTATGGCTCCTTCAATCCGATACAGATGTTCCTTTTAAGCCCTAATCTTGTGAGGAACAAAAGAAGACATACCTATTTGTATGTAATTTGAGTACTTTTGTCAGGCAAAAGAGAGATGTTTGTGACAAATGACAGCTGTGTGTGGATAGCTGTACTTTGTTCAGAAATCGTGCGGTGTATTTTTTGTTAAGCCGAACTTTTTTAGTCTAGTTCTTGCCTCAGAATCGTGCGTGTCAGCTGGCAAATGTGAAGCAGGAACTAGGCTGAATCCAAAAATAAAACAAATAAAAGTTGTAGCATTTCAGCACAATATACACCATACTATTTTCCAAATTTTGTATCATGTTTTAATGGACAGGAAATTTATTGCCTTTTACAAATCTCCATTGAAATGTTTTTATGTATACGAGGGTAAAAGAAGTATCTTTTTAAAAGTACCCCTCAAATAAAACGCACAGGTTTTCCTTACAGAATTTCTCTGCGAGAATTTCAGTGTGTGTAGAAGTGACAACATGATGCCTGTGTAAATAGTATATACTTGTGATCAACATCAGAATTGGATGATGCTTGGGACGTTCAGGCAACTGTGAGAGCAGGTGTATTATACCCAGCCAGCATGGTATTGGAGAGGGCGGGGCTTGATGAATCACTCTATTGCCAAATTGGAAACAAGTCTGGACTTGTTTCTAGATATCTCTGCAGGCGAACTTTTTTTTTCCTGCGTAGACCCATCACTGGATGATTCTTCTCTGTTAAAATCAAGTAACATTTTGTGTTGGACTTGTGTCCAAAAACCACAGATCCATGTCTAAAGCCATGACCAGGCGATTCACAATACAGTGTACCAGCAAGAGGTTGCCATGGAGAGGCCGTGTTTTCGAGTTTGTGGTCGGCAAATGCATGAGCGCCTTGCTGCAATTTGCATTTGAGTGTATCAGTGGACAGTGCAGGGGTTTTTGAAATGTGTGCGAATTTGACTGAAGATTGGTTTAGATGATCAGAGGGGCAATAGGAATCTTTATTAAAGCCCCAGGTTCCTCCACTTGCCAGTCTAGGAATAAACCCTCCTTAGGGCTCATTCTGCCTTGCCGTCTATCCATGAGAAGGGTCTGTACGTCAGTATGCAAATTAAGTGGACTTTTCTTTTATTAACAAGTGAGTAACATGCAGATAATTCTGCCAAGGTGTGCCAGTTGAGAGGAATGTGATAAGCATTAGACACAATATAGATATACAACTATAGTTCATTGGTAACAGTGATCTCATATTGCAGGTCCTTGTATTGCCAGTCACAAAGACGCGCTGTGAATATTTCTGTTCTCTTTCTGCCAGTTAAGAAAATGTTTCTTTGTTGACCTTTGAAACCTTTTTTTGCTGGATGCATAAGGAATGCTGAATAAAGCTGTGAGAGTATTTTATTGGAAATCTATTTGGAATCGTGGCTATGTTCATGATTGCACATGCTTAGCATAATATATGACAGGATTAATCAATGTCACTCAGATTACATGAAGCATGTTATGCACCTAAATGTGTAGACTTGATTCCAGTCGTTGAATCTAGTATTTTTTGCAGTGCCAATGTTGCAAGGATGCTGTGTGCAGTTACTGCTCTGTGATTTTGTTCCTGCATCCAGTTTTCAGTTGCAACTTTTATATAGATGTTTTAGTGTCCACCAAAGGTAGATTGCCTGAAATCAGTTTGGGTCAAGATCTCCAAACATTGCATCCTGACCAGAACTCTGTGTGGTCAGATACATTTGAAGCTGTGCCTAATGAGCCCCGTTGTTAAGTCCCATGTGGATGTCTTGCTGACGAACCCAAACTTTGGCCACGTCTGTTTTCCTTGTGCTAGCCCATCGATATTGTACAGTGTTGAACAACTCAGCATATTTAATCATGTGATTTGATGGTCAAGTCACATGATCCAACGGGTGTTTCATGTTAAATTTTGTCGTTTTAGTCTTCTGCAGTATTTTTATTTGCTAGAATATTGTACTTTACTCCAAGTCCGTCTTTACCACAAGGTCTGTGTTGTATAATTCGTAAAGCACATTGTGAAAAGGGTTGTGTTCAAAAAGAAAGCTGTTTAAAACTTGAGAAAATCATACACCCTCAGAAAGTTTACAATTATGCCAAGGGTTAAAGGTTTTATTTCAGTTATTGCTAAACTCATGAAGTAAGTACTTTCCCGAAACAGGCTATCTTAGAATATACATAGCAAAGTTTATGCCCATAAACTAGTTGGGTCTAAAATCAGCCACCGGTGAAATGTGCTTGGCTTCATTTTCAGCTTACAACAGTTCTTTGGTGTCTTAATTTCTACAAATATGCAAGGACTTTTATACAGTGATTAAAAAGGCTTAGAAATAACCTTGTACTTTTGACCCATCTTTCTGCAAAGATAATACCTTTGGCCCCACTGTAAAGGATTGTGCTTGGCTGCAGCCGAAGGTTGCGTTTTGTACAAAATGCAAATATCCTGGCATTTGTTAAGCATTATATCCATAATGTACATACCGTTCCTAGGTAGAACTTTTTGGAAGTAGACCTTAAGAAAACTGGGTGTATAGTTGCCATTTTATGAGAATAAAAATGAGATGTAATCAAGGTTTGAGAAAGTTGTGACCTTCCTTGTGTGGCATTTTGATGTGTGGTTTCCCGACGTCACTTTCTTAATTATTGTATGTAATCATTTTAATGTGTTTACGAGTACCATGTTTTTTTCTCCCCAAGGGCACTGGCAAATAAGAAATGACAAACGAATGGGTTAAAAATAAAGGTGAAAGCACTGTGTTTGAGCGGAACTTGTCGTCGTGGTACCGAGAAGTCGTGGATGCAACCGTGTTCAGAATTAATTGGTTTGTAAAAGCCTGTGATGATGCATTCGTTGTCAACCACCCGGACAATTAGTTGTAATTACCGTTTCATAGCCAGCCACTCTTACACAAGCATTGAAGTGAGATGTGTCCTTTGTTCTCGTGTGCTGGGAAGTTCGTGTGCGAAGGATTTCTCAATCGCTGTCATTTGACCCAGAATCACTTTTTTCTTGGTGTGAGATGTCGACCAAAGTGTACCATAATTAAATTGCAACGGACAAGTGTATCTTGGAAATCGCTGCTCTTTGAGTCACGTTATTTCAGATATCTATTTCGTGAAAACCTTGTTGTGTACACTACCAATTAGCACCCCCCCCCCCACTCACGGATTTGTCCTGATGGGTTACCTCCCAATGTTCCTGTACCCACAGGGTTCTTCTGCCTTCTGGAACCCTTACGCGGTCCGCCTATGAGGATTTTACATTGGGCCGTCCTATCGCGTTCAATAAATTTTTGGAAAAATAATTCTTTACTAAAACCACCCCATTAAACATTCATGTTGGAATTTTACCTTTATCTTCCTCAAGTAATATTTCGAAAAAGTCGCCTGGAGATGGGTAAAAACGAGTTTTATTAACGACTTTCACGTCTGACGATATCCTACCTAGGTTTCCTTGTTCATGCACGTTTGTTTTCACTCGCCTTACTTTCTTGAACATAAAATTGTTCAACCTTGCAAAGATTTACCTACCTTCAGTCGATGGGTTCCAGATTCCGTATCGCAGTTGTCAGCAAAGGTTAGATAAAATATTAGAATCTTTCGTAAAAGTAGAATATTGCTTTACGTTTATTACCTTTAGTTACAAATTATCAAATGTGCAAAATATTTTGATCTGTTTTTATTTTTGTTTTTACCCACAGACTACAATAAAATTTCAAACCCTAATTCATCTGCGTACGAGACGTACGAGACGAAAGAAATTGAAAGATTGGTGACCAGAAAATCGTTTACTTTGTGTTTCAGAGACCTCAGGGCTGTTGGTATACGTGGCATAGGGCCCAGAACAGTGCCGGTTTTACACTGTTTTCAATAGGGCTTGGGTTAGTGGACTAAACCCCTAGTCCCTCTGTGTTGTCCTCAGTAGTGTTATTTCAGTGTCTATTTTCATTAAAAAAAAATTGTTATTCCCGAAACAAAAATAGTTGTTCCCTCAACAAAATGGTTGTTACCTCAAGAAAAATGGTTCTCTCAACAAACTTCGTTGTTCCCTCTACAAAGTGTGCTCGCCGACATTATATATTTTTTCCTACCACGTACCTTTAAAAACCTCCGTAGTTGCCTCACTAGAAACGAAACTATGACTGTAAAAGTACAACAGCGCAACGCCGTGTTTACAAATTGTTTTGAGTCCGGAAAAAGCACCAAGGACTACTTTTCTTTTGTTTTCGCCCGTCAAAAACCAAATCTCTAAATTTCCTTGCAGCGGTTGTGAGAGCTAGAAAATAAAAGCCTGATATGAGGTTCATATGGACGTTACCAACATTTGGGGGTCTGGGGAGTATTCCACAGTAGCGAAGGCAAAAACCATTAACGGTTGAAGGAGGTAAATTCTTAGATGTTTTCAAGAGAATTTGCATCCTCTTTCCCCTTTTCCCCCTTTTTCTTCGGGAAACAAGCACCTCTCCCCTACTCCCTCTCAACGCCCATAGCTAGAGAGAGGCTTCCTGCACTTTTTGCCAGTGATAAGAAAGAGCAGGATTGATGGCCCAACCTCGTTAAAGGTTCTGGTTGAGAGTCAGGAGATTTTTCCCAACCCCGTTGTCAAGGAGTTTTGCAATTAGTACTTCACCGTGCACCACATTCCGAGAATCAAAAGCGGAATTGATTCAAAGGCAAAACATTGCCGACACGAACAGACGTCGTGTGTGGGCGGATCTCCTCCATACACTCTTCATCTTGAAAACCATCGCGAAGCTTGTAGCAGTACTGAGGCGACTTGGAGGACGGCAAAATGTTGGGAGGGGCTTATTTATTAAATTTAGTAATGGGCAAACGGAACCGAGAATGCAGAGACAATTCCTATAAGGCATCTGACAGCAGTCTTGCTCTGTGCTATCCATCGTGCACTCTTTCCCTCGTTTCAGATGTTTTTCATCGTAAAAATTGAGAAATATGTACTTTTTTATAGTGATGCATACAATGTCAATTTTAGTCAAAAGCCGTAACTGACGAAAATTTTCTCGACAGAGGTAACAAAGTGCACATCCACCCGATGCATCGAACATTAAGTCTTGAATGGAACAATGCCGACCACTCGCCTTTCAAATTAAAATTGGAGGGTTCTGAAAGGATTTCACTACAACATTGACTTGACTTAGATGAAATCTTTGTAGTTGCTTTTTTTTATGATTGTAGCAAAACTTTAGGCGAGAGAACCCCTGTCTATTCTGTAACGACCCCCTTTTGTTATCGAAATGAACAGACACAAAACTCATATGGTACAAGTTGAACACATTTCAAAGCACAATGCTAAATACCAAATTTGTATCAAGATATTGGGTGGCGGGGGTCAAAAATGGGATATTTTTCTCAAAACATATTTTATTCATCCGTATGTATACTCCACCACCCTTCCCAAAGAAAGGTGGTCATACTGTTTGGAAAACGGCAGCGCTTTCAATTAAAAAAGGCAATATGTCGGGGGGGGGTTACCCCTTCACCCGCCCCACTGCATACGTCACTGCTCAACAAATATCTGTCGGCTACTTCAGATTCCCCACGGGAAAGTATGTTTAAAACGGTACGGCTCCACGGGTGTCTCGGTGTCTATTATAATGTGGATCGTCTGTACCCGGAGTATTACCGGCTTCTCTGATTTCATCAACGCTTTTCGAAATATCTCTCTGGTCTCGGGTTCTAGTGTATTCGGCGGGGAGAGGGAAGGAGCCTGAGGGGCAAGTCCCCGGGCCAGTGGCGTAGCGAGGGCTAAATGTCCGTTGTGGGAACCCGGGGGTGCACACATTTTTTTCAAGGGGTACCACAAGAAAAGAAGCTGCAGCTACATTTCGACGGAGATTATTCAAAGATTTCAAATGGGGAAGGGGCTATCAAGGGGGCACGACGTGACTAGAGGGGGACACGTACCCCCCCCAGCACGTCACTGGGAATTCGCCCTCCCCGACCCGAAACATTTTGCGAACAGTTTTCCTCAAGGATTGAAAGTGTCTGGATTTTTGGAAATGTATGTCACCTTTGGGGATGAGGATTCTTCGGGATGAAAGAAAATTGGACAGCTCTTTTTAGAAAAAAAAATCTTATTTGTCTCCGCCCTAGGGCCCAAGACCTGGATTCGCCAATGATCTCGGGGTGATGTGTCCTCTAGAATTTCTTGTTTTTTTTTCCTCCGTGTGTTTTCGGAAGGTATTGATTTAGTCACCCTTTGTCTAACAACCAGTGGCTAACACCCCCCGCCATGTTGCCATTTTGCTAGTGAAGGTAAATATAAGCCCCAGCCTACTTAAACGGAATTAAACCACCTTTCTTGTTGGGGTTGTGGATTCTTTAGGGAACTTTTTAGAAAAATAATCACGAATTCAAAACCTGGATACGCCACATCACAGAACATGGATACCTGACACTGTCTGAAAAGTGGGGCATGACCGTCTGTATTCAATTTATTCGAATAGGAAGCACCATCGTTCAAAACAGCCTCGTAAAAATCCCAGTTTCAGTTTTTGCCGTTCAAGCTCGAGTGTCCCCAACGAGAGAATTCACACATTCTTTGAACCAGATTCCCTAGCGAAGGGTTGGGTGCAGTATTTTCACAGATTCTCGTGACTCGAGAACAAGGGGTTGATGAATTATTGTCCTGGATGAATCCTCGGTGTGGAATTTCACCTCAGTAGAGAATCTCAACTACTTGACCGCCTCAGACTAAAGCAACGGATCACAAGACGGTCGATCAAGCGTCCTGGTTTGACTCCAGCCATCAAATCCTTGCGGGTACGGGCAATCCTGAAATTTCATGATGCCAAAGAGAAAAGCCATGGGTGTTTACCTGTCAGATGCAATCCCCAAAAGACTACTTTTTTATCATTCGGTCCAACAGTGGAAATACACCAGCCGTATTGTTTGAGCTTGATGTGTGACTGAGAGGTCACCTATTCTACCGTGAAACCGACATTTCTACAGGTGTAGTACATGGAAGATGAGAGAAGGGACGTGCTGTCGTTCTACTTGACTTCTCCCGATCATAGGTATTGCTGGGATTCTTCACTAGAGGAGGGTGCAGGGTGAGGCTAATTGTTAGGGTTTTTACACAATTTTGGAAGGAAAGGAAGTGTAAACAGTAGTTCACAACATTAAATATCAAACAAACACCCCCTCTAAGTTTTTGCTCTTTTTTGCAAGGGAGGCGTAGCCCCCATTGACACCGCATAGGACCCTACAGCCGATTATGTAACTCTTAAAATCCAAGCAGATTTGAAAATACTCCTTAAATTCTTGTTGTTATTATATATGGATCGTGCCCAAACCTTACTAAGATTGTCAAAATCCATGCACCATCTCAAGCATGTTTACAATTTATTTTTATTTTCATTGGGCCCGCCTACCCCTATGCCATTATTTTATGGACGCACATACATTAACAGGCCTCAGTGCGACTCGAAAGGCAACCACGAATATCTGAGTAATAAAGTAATGTTTCAATATAGAGGCGCATCTGATCCGACTACCCATCGCCGTTAATAAATGAGGCTTTTACAGCTAAATGCAAATATTTAGAATATGGAACTA